GCGTAACATCAATCTTGTGCATAAAACTACACTAAGGGCCCCAACCTCCACTTCTACACTAAGAACAGGTGACTAATCCTAAAACACAGGACTCAAACTCCACTTCAGAGTTTTAACATAAAATAATTCTGTCTCCTGGGCTCCCCTCACATCGACGTGGTAGCCCAATGCCTCGCACAGCATGGCCTGGTAATCGGCCATTGTGACGGCTGTGCCTCCCATCTGTAAACACCACAATTAGTAAATGACCCTTGCCACATGCTCATTTCAATATCCCATTTGTATACAAAGATGGGTTGGCAGTATGCTAATAGAACAAGGTTCAATTGCAACCCCAACCAATGTACTAAGTTTCTACCATAGGTTGGACTACGTTGGTGGTGACAAGCAAGTGCTACGGGGTTTCTTCAACTCCTTTGAAACACAACGAACAATTAGGTGCTCTTCCAAGAGACTCAACTTCAACAATGTATTGTGGTGTCACATATTTGGAAGTCTCAGTCAAGGGAAAGTTAATTTGTTCCTTGACTAAAAAATTGCTGAAGTGAGTAGTACTTACGGGACATTGCTTGCATCCGAGTCAGCCAAGAATGGGTTGCACACACATATTGCACCATAGTTCTTGTTCGTTTTTCTCTATGTCTAGAGCAATGAAACACTGGACTGACTACAGCTCAAAAGCGATTATATCATGAAGGTAATGGCATTTCAGGGCAATGGTGGGGTTAGTTGGTAGATTAAGCTAGGTATCATTTGTAGGAGTGCGTCGGGGCCATACAAGCATAGGGGTGAAGAACTCAGGGGTGATGAAGTGTGCCAGGCAACAATGCTTACGATCTGAGTTAGACAATGGCAAAGTCAGCAAGCTCAAGAAGGATAGCCAGGAGCATGAATTCTATTGAGAACGCCAACATGGTATTTGGCATTTCTAGCACTAGTGTCAACAATGTTATGCAAAATCTACAAAAATTCTCTGGCATAAGATCGAGGACCCAAGCAAATGTCATTCATTTGCCTAATTTAAACCCACCTCCAACCACCACATACACCACCCCTGTCCTCATATGTTAGGAATAGACAAGAATCACATTGATGAGAGGTGTTTGGCTCCTATGATTCAGTGATAAATGGACTTCTTGAAGTTGTTACACATAAAATTTCGATAAAATTGGCAAAGTTACCAATGCATTCATACACGCTGTGAAATGGCCCCCATTGAAGGTCTCAAAGTTAGGGGCTCTTAGTTGTTTGCCAATGGTCAGATCAGTTTGACAAGATTGGGCCTTTCAGCAGCTATTTAACTATGTCTTTTCAGGGCGGCGCTTGTGCCTCGTAGCTTACTACGCGAACACCTAATGTGCGAAAATCAACTCACCAATAAACAAATGGGCTGATGGTAGAATCGATTGTTATAGAGATGTAAATTGAATGTGAGTTTGAAGTAGCACTAAACAGCATTCGTGTCTAGTGTGCTGTAAGCCAGCCCACCATTCTGATATTAGGAGATTGAAAACAACATGGACTAGATTAGTCCTAGTTGTATCCCCCAACCTCCTGCCATGCTTCTCGCTGCCAATGAGCACAATATGCTTTATACGAGGCGAATCTTGTGGCCTCCTACCAAAGAGATGGATGCAGCCGCTGATTCTTGCCTTAGCTAGATTGCCAGGATGTGGGCAATAAAGTGCCCCTGGGGAGATAATTTCGTTAGTTTTTTCTTACTTTTGACAACAAGAACTTCTCGTTCATTGTTTTGCATCTAGTTTTTGGACCGCTTCTGCCACCTACTATTAGCTGCACATCTTCATTCATTCAGCTTCCTTCATATGTTTCTTGGTCAGTGCCTTTTTTCTATTTGGAAGGAGCATGCAGAAGATTGTTCAGTCATGGATGTGGCATAAGGTGGGGCAGCCAAGCGCTTGCTACCTGCACCTTGGCTGCTCCGCGATTGGCTGATGTTTGGCTGGTGATTGAGGCAGGAAACTGGGCCAACACGATAGCTGCACGCTGCAGCTTTGCCGGTTGCGGCGATCACTTGGAGTAGTGGCTCAGTGTGGCAGCTCAAATGCCATTCGAGTCGCCACCAATCAACCACCACGATTGAACCGGTGCGCCAGATTGCAGATCTCATGAATTGCATTTGCTGGCTATTTCAATAGGCACCTTTGGCACAGCCATAGCGGCCCCCAAAAGAAAGGCAAGGCAAGCTCCTAAAGACGATGTCCAGCAAATGCAAAAACGCAGATGTCCTGAAGACTGCTCGCTGATTGTTTTGAAATCGTAGCACCAGCCAGCCAGGTTAGCCTCCATAGAGAGGTGCAAGTCCGCCGCCTAAGCCGAATCTAAGAGATTCTGGCACCAAATGAGACAGAGAATTGCAGATCTTGTAGAGTTTGTAAGTTGGCCATTTCGAAGGCTTAGAACAATCCTACCTGGTTGGCCTCCATAGAGGGCACAAGTCTGGTGCCCACGGAGAGTCTCAAAGAATTTAGCCCCAATTGAGACAAAGAATCGCGGAAAGGGGGTGCAGGTCAACTGCCCAAGGAGAATCTCAAAGAGTTGGCACCAAGTGAGTTAGAAATTCACAAATCTAGCGAAGTTGATTTGTTAGCCTTTTCCAAGGCGTTGTTGGATACAGCAAAGGCAGCCTTCATAGAAGGGTGCAGGCGAGCTTTTGGAGAAGGGTGTAGGGCAGCCTTCATAAGAGTGTGGAGGGTGGTCTCCACTAGAATGTCTAGGGCAGCCTCCACCAGGGATTCCAGAAATTTCGTGCCAAGAGCCAAGATCTGGCATTGTCCTCAATCTAGTGAAGATGGTTGGCCATCCGTCAGTGAACTTGGGAGCAGCCTCAACGGGACTCATGAGCAAGGTGTGGGAAACTGAAAAGAAGGATCCCCAAAATGGCTGGCCAAGGTGGGGACTGACAATCCCAGCTCTTGTGGAGATTGCCAGCTGGCCGTGTTATCAGCACAACCTCCACCACGTATGTGTGTCCTTCAGCCACGCAAGCAGACACACTAAAATTGCCAGCCATGGCACAGCTAGCAGATCGCAGTTCTTCTGAAGTTCACTGGTGGTCAATTTGAAGGCAAATGTTTGTACAGCTGGGGCTGGTGCAACAGAAGGGTGTAAGAAGGCATCCAAACGAGGATTCCAGCGAATCTGGCAAACAGCAGAAGTGCTGATTTTGTGAAGATCGGAGGTAGGCCAACACTATGGTATGGTATGGCACAACCAGGCTCGGCACTTTGCAACCAAGGCAACTTCTCTAGAACCTCAATCTTTCCATGAATGCTAACGTGCTGGTGAAGCACACCTTCAAGCATTGTAATACAGGAATCCCTGGATAGTAGTGTCTGAAAATCGGCGATCTTGGGCAACAACTGGATTGTCATTTCGATGGCAATGCGTGGCACAACTCAGGCAGCCTGCACAGCCAATTCTCTGAGAAGAATCCCCTATTCTGGTAGCACCTCAGCCAGAAATTTGCAGGCCAGACGCAGATTTAGTAGTCGATCTGGGAAGGATGGCTGGCCAACAATGCCCAAAAAGCGTTGCAAACACCGCGCTCAAAGTCAGCCATCTCCTGGGTGGCAATCTCGAATGCAGCAGGTCCACGAATGAACCAGGGAATTCTTGCACCACAGCCACCGTTTGAACGTTAGCGCCCTTCACCAAGCCTGCGCCCACCGAAACCGGCTGCAAGAACAAAGGCTGACTGAGCGAGCAAACAATGGGCACGCATCCTCGGCCATGTTTCGCTTTTAGCAATTGTTGTGTGCCGCTAGTGGCGAACCACAGATTGCCACCACATCCGCCCAATCAGCTATTGGAGTCTAGTGGAGGTGGCAGAGTGACGACATCAGAGTCAGATGCATTGGAATAAAGAGAACAGGAGTAGGCACGGGGGTATGGGCAAGGCGATCAAAGAAATGAGCAGTAGTGCAGACAAACGGGGAGCAAGGGGCCCCCTACCTCTGCCAAGTGACCTCGAAAGTGGTGGCCACCATTCTGGCCACAGCTCCAAGGACTTCACCAGTGGAAACCATGGAGATTCTGGCATGGCCTCTGACATATGTCAGGCCAAGCCTGGGCAAAATTGGCAGGCAGGGCGGCCAGGAGGCTACAGTGGGGTGGTCCTCTCAATGTCAGTGGGGTAGTGCACACACCACGACGTGGCTTGGTCATCAAAATGGCAAGCGTCCAAGCACTTTGCCATGGCCAAGGGATGGACCATGGGGTCATTAGCCAACTTACCCAAGTCCGAACAAGAGCTATAGCTAGTGGAAGAGGTTGTTGTCTTCCCGGCAGGACAAATAGACCCACATGGCGGACCATCAACTGCGTCAAGACCAGTTGCACACACGCACTGACTTGCGCGCCTGCCAGTTACCATGCCACATTGGTGAGTTTTCACACTCACTCTTCAACACATGGTGAAGACAAGGGGGGAGGGGGGTGGGCAAGGAGCCATGGGGCATGGAGCAGTCTATCACCTTCGCAATATGTGTGACGCCCTTGCTTGGTGTGCAACAACCAATCCCCTTCATTCAGATGTCCAAACACAAGCATCAACCAATGGACACAAGGCCATTTGGTGGCTCTTCTGGGGGGAAATAGGTCCTCTAGCCCTTCTTGCACCGGCTTCCATGCCATGTTGACCCATGCAAGCCATGCCGTGGGTGTGTTGCATGTCCATGTGTCCGTGCGTCCTTGCCCACGAAAATCATTCACCCACCGCGGAATGGATCAGGTCTCATATCAGATGCATCCCAGACATGTATAGGGTTGTTGATCGGTAGTGAAGGAGGCAGGATGGTGGTCACATTCAAATGGGATGCCCAGTGAGCAAATCGCCAATGTCACAGCTGATGCAGCACAACAAGAAAACTATAGACACCAAAAGTTGGGGCACACGGTGCACGACGCATGCTACTCATATCGAACGACAGCGAAAACCCCAAGATCGACAATAGTAGAGAATCGAAAATTAAGGATTTTCATATCAATAGACCCCTCAGGCGAGCAACATCACACCATCCTTCGGCCACCGCAATGCGCCTGTGGGGGTGGGTGGGGGGTGGGTGGGGACATTTTGCCCAAAGGTTTCCAGCCGACTGCAGTGCAAAAACACATCATCACGTACTTTGCGCTTTATTGCACACTTGAACCATATCAAAGTGGGCCATCCAACGCCTCGGTACGAAGAAGCAAGTCCGACCTCCGCTAGTAATATATAGATATAACTGCACCAAGAGTTGGGTACTTGTGATATTGATTTTTGTATTGACAATCAATTGAAATGTGACGATTCCCAAATGGAAGCTCCCATTTTGTGACCTAATCATCAAGATGTGCCAGTTCTGTTATGCGTTTTTGCTTATTTATTTGTTTATTTGTTTATTTGTTTATTTATTTATTTATTTATTTATTTGTTTATTTAATTGGAGCACACAAGTATTTGGGTAAACACATGGGATCAATATGTAGTGTTCGCGGATTGTACAAGTAGACATTTGAAATCTAGAAATTCTTGACACATGCATAGCAACACATTGCCTGGAACAAGTATGTCGATCGGTGAGTTTGTACATGTTGCGGGACCCTTTTCGATGGCCTCTTCTGGTCCTTCCTGCCGCGCTCTGCACGGGCCTCGCGGCCATGGGAGCTAGCTGCCTCGCACCCCGCCATCTTCAAACGGTAGGACGGCCCGATCCCAAAGCGCAAGAGGGCCCACCGCGCAACGAACGAGCGAGCACCCCGATTACCCATGCCGGGTTCGGTGGAGGGGCCATTGGCCCAACTGGGTGCAGGCGGATGAAGTGGGATGCGCGCGACAAAGAGGACCAACGGAGGCCATCGAAAAGGGCCCCACAACTGTACAAGTGGCAATATTCTAATCTATTAGTTGAACACATTGTTACTGACATTCCTAGATGACCTTGAAAGCATTAACATATAGCATTGCTATATGCACATTATGACATGTCTAACAACACCATTTTGGGAAAATAAGTATAGGGCCAAGTTTTGATTCATGCAATCACTAAGGATTCCATTTTCGTATGCCACCACATATATTGCAAGAACAACAACATATTTGATTGTCTTTGCGCACTTCCCCACAAACATAAAATTGTCTCCAACACAATGCAAAAGAAGCTTGTCATAATCCACTATAATTGCCAATCTAACTATCCCACTATGCAACAAATAGAGCATTTTTGCTGAATGCATGTGTGTGGTAGAGGGTGCCTATTCAAAGCATAGCTTATGCTATTATTAATCAATTGCCATTGTGTACAGTTGCAGGAGTCACATTGCATAGTAACTTTCCGGCAATGGTGTGTGGGCTCAAACCACAAGGATTGGACCACCACAACAACAATTTGGCAATTGTACATCCCCTCCCAAATGCTACCCCTCATTGCCAACAGAAGCAACTAATCTTTGAAGAGCACAAAGTAACATCCACACCCGTTGTTGGGTTATTGTCATAGCACATGAGGTGCAAGTGGAGCTAATAAGCTTGTCTTAGATATGTTTCCTGCCACACTTGGGGGAGGCACACTATTGTGTAGGTGTTGCAAAGGGGAAGATACAAGCAGAAATGGATGGACATACGAGTGACGTTGCGTATACATAACCCCTGCTAGCCATACACCGCAGAGCCCACATCTTACTATTTGGCATTGCCTGCTAAAATCATAGCTTAGTCTGGAAATGATTTACCTTTGCAGCGATGAAAAGGCACGTTGCCACAGCACACTCGTTGTTCATGGGCCTCCCGTAGCCCTGTAGAATAAACACAACATCCCACAAGCAAACAAACAATTAACACCAACAATCCAATCCAATCCAATCCAAAATATGGTAAACACAATTTATCTCAAGTCCCTTGTGGCAAATATGGTAGTACCAAGTGTGCTCGGTTATCAACATAAACGAAACATTTCACCCGCAAACACACACAAACCCTTTCATGGCTGCAACAATGCGCACAAGTTCAAACTAACAAATACTCACCATGGCCTCAAGTCGTACAAGGTACGACTGCGCCAAGCACACAGCATCGCCCGGTAGGTTCCACCGCCAGCCCATGTTCAGAACAAGTGTGTCATTGGTGACACACCTATACACAGCTTCCCCTGAACAAAGCACACAACCACATTTCAACAAATGTTGCTTCTAACTAACTGACACAAATAAAAAGTGAACATAATGCCACATTTGATCACCTTTACCAGGAATGAGAGGGATGAGTGAGACACAATTAGGGTCCTGAAGTAGCTCTTTGTAAGCTCTTAGCAACAACTTGCATGTCCAGCAGCTATGCAACACATGGCCACTACCCATACCAAGTATTGGTGCTCTGCACAGTACAGCTGCGAGCAACAACTTGTCAAATATAAGCTGTGGGCAATAATGAAACACGTAAGACGATGTTGGATTTCTACCGGTTTGATGCCTAGAAACCATGAATGTGGGTAAATTTGACATCAATGTTGCATTAGTGCGAGACTATGGCATTGATGGGCCATCGTTCTTGGCAACAGCTTTGGCAGTTGGCATTGCTTCTAAAAGTACTTTTTGCGGTGAAGACTTTGATGGAATGAGTTTTTCCTGTAAGATGTGGCATTTGGATGTGAAAGTGGTTGAAGATACCATGGGGTCCAAAGACAAGTTGGACAACTGTCCGACACCCATATAGGGTGTTTGGGTATGCCAATTAATCCCTTGCGTTTTGGCCATTTCTGTGCATGTTTTGGTGTTGGTTTTCCCCTACTCTTCCTTTTTTGCCACAATGGCACTGCACAGGGTCCTGTGGGTCATATGGAGGGGTTCAATTCCAGTCCAGCCCAAATGGAGGTATGATCCTTTCGGTCATGTTTGTGATTCAAACCGATCATGCAATTCTTTAGGTGTCGACCCCATAAGCCCAATCAAATCGGTCGACAGGTTAAGGGTTGCAATTACATCCTAGCTATTCTTGACCACTTGACTTTGTTGGGGCATGGTTGGAACATGTAAGTGACGTCACATAGATGTGGTTCGACACTTACTGCAATAGTGACTATGCTTTTGGTGCCAACACAGCACATCTGAGTGATCAAGGGCCACAATGTATGTCTTGGGATTTTGTACACTAGAGCACTCAAAATGGCATGCAAACCATCATAGCTACTCCAAAATACACCGAGTCTGTTGTGTTACTGTAAATAATGCACTAGGCTTTGGGGAAACACTCGAGATACACATTGTATTCTCAAGATTGTGGAGAGTTGCCGCAGGTTAACCAATGATAAGAAATATATGATTGAGACTCCCCATATATTGCCAATAGTCCTGCTCAATGCAAATAGAACATTCACTCAATGAGGGAACCCAATGACAAAATAGAATGGGAATGATGTAACAACTTGCAAAACAAGCACATCAACTGCTACTTTTTGGTTGGGCAACACATTTGGATTTGCGACCATTGCCAGACCAAGCAACTGAATAGAACATGTCAATATTTTGAATAAGCCTACAAATGCAGCAATGCGATCTGAAATTGACCTGCACGACATGATGAATTAGAACGTCTAGAGGTTGCATCTCCCTTGTGCACACAAAATGTGTTGGATGTGGAGCAGAGTGCCTTGTTTCATTTCTGGTTTATTTTCCTTTCACATTCTTTCCTTATGACAATGCACTTGACATGAAATGATGTAGCGCGATGGCTGGGAAGTGTGGGTTGTGATGTTCACCCTACCATTGGCATACTGTAAGCGCAGGCCGGGTTGGTGCTCTTGCAAAATCAATGTGACAGTTGCAAACATGGCGGTCCACCTTCGCAGCCGTTATGAGAGCACCAATCTCTCAGCACGGCAGCCAGGACAAGGGAAAATGACATATGGCACTTCACATCGCCACGGATAGATCCTTAGGCTCAAATAAACCTTCTCCATTGCTAAAGAACACACCATCAGTTTCTTTCGAACCCACGCCTCCGATCTCTGGCAGCCCTCCCACATGCAGGAAATGGCGCGACCGCCAAAGAGGACACGCCTTTGAAGGGCGGCACTCGTATTACAGGTTGGAATGATTGAGCCGCATTGCGACCAACGCATCGTTCCAGCCGCTGTCCACAACACGACCCTCCTAGCGTCAAGACATGCGTGAGCGCCATTCTCCACTGCGCTGAGCGCTTTCTTCAATCTGCGGGGGATGCGGTCTCCCAACAGGGCGAAACAATCGCCGCACCTCCTGCCCTCGCACCTCCCAAAACACTCGCGGCTACCCACCGGGGCAACGAGATCCGACTGTCCGCGCACTCACCAGGCAGCTTCACCCTCGCAAAGGCGTCGTTCCCCGCCTTCACCTCCTCGGCAAAGCGCGCCATCAACGCCCACTCCTCCTCCTCATCATCCGAATCCACGTCATCCCCAGAGGAGGACGACCCCGACAACCCCGGCTGGTTGCCGTCGCCCAGGCCCAGATCCTCATCGCAGTACAGCGGATCCTCCTCGGACACGGTCGTGTCATCGCTCTGCTGCGACAAGACGCGGGGGTCCATGGCAGCGCCGGCGGCGGGGGGCCGGGGGGCGGAGGGTGTGGTGCGGTCTGCGGGCGGCGATCAGGCCAGTATCCGCAAACTCGCTTTGCGGCAACCGCGAACACACTTTACCGCAGCCTGTGTGTCATTCAATCAGTCATTGAATCTCAGTCCCTGAATTTCGGACGGGAGGCAGTTCAGAGGAGGACGAAAGCCCAGCGCCGTCCGCGGTCCGACGTCCGCGCTGCAGGAACTTCGCACGACGGCACCGGCGCGGATCTTTTTTGCCCAGTTTGGTTACGAGCGAAGCGCGCCGACGGCTCAGCACTCAGGGGGTCAGCGCCAGGTGCGACAGAAGAACATGCCATTGCCCGCCCGCTCAGATGGAATGAAGGCGTGTTGGAGCGGGTCGATCACTGTGCGTCGAGGCTCACGCCAGAGCGCCTCCCTGCTGCCGCTTCTGTCCTCCAACGATGGTCATGTGGACAAGAATGTTTTCTGTGTTTTACTGTTTCTGCTCAATGATTCCTTCCCAAACATGTCGCGCGCGGGGTATGGGAATGAGCCTGGCGAGCAAAATGAGAAAGGATGCTTGGAGGAGCGAGAGGGGCTGGGGTTGGGACAGCCAGGTATCCGTGGATGGCTGCCAATGGGTTTACTTCCGCTCTTACATGGTTGTTTAGGGGCGTTGAACTTCAAGAATCTGGTGGAGTGACAAGATGAGCAGTAACACTGTTGGATGGAAGAAATGCTTGACAAGCTGTTGACTGATGTAGGGTACGGATGCCTGGGCTGTGGCATGAAAGCTGGTGGTTGTCCATCTCACAGCTTCCCTTTGTGTGTAGCATGGGAGTGTGGGTGTAGCGATTTCATTCTCTTGCTCTTTCGAAAATGCTGCATCACATCAACGCTTCTATTGGTTGTTTCTGCTCTTGTGTTGCGGCTGTCGGTGATCAGATTACGCAGTGTATCAACCCTGAAAAGGGTTGCCTGGGAACCTCCCAGGCCATCCGCAATCTACAGTCGCATTCTGTAACATGGATTGCGCTGTCCACTTGAACCAGTGTAAAGAACTGGAATAGGAAGGAGAGTCCCCCATCGTAGTGAAGCTATTAACGCACTGACAGTGTGTGTGGTTGTTAACAGAAGGGTAATAGCCCAAGTTAGAAGGCGCCGGGGTGTTCCTGCTGTCATGTGATGTTCGTAGTTTTGTGCTGCAAAGGGGAGTTTCTTTGGAGGTATTTTGCAGTACATACATGCCCTCCAAAGCTATTATTGGCCCCACCAGCAATGCCAAAATAAAAGGAAGACTGCTGGGGTCAGAAGGATACAATGGGAAAGCTATTGACTGATAAATTCTGGAGCACAGGGGTCCACAGGGAGTAGAAAATTTGTAGAAAGCAAAGAAAGGACAGGAGGAAAAAGCATCCATGATCTATGCGATGTGGGGAATACATCATGCTTTTTCAGTCTTGTTGAGTTGAGGAGGGCATGTGATGTCAATTTGTATTGAGTATTTTGTTGTTCTAGATTTTGTCAAGCCAGAACAATGGCCAAGCACCTCCCAGAATTGTACTGATCTGTGTTCTAGCTCTGCTCATTTTTACCACCCACAGGGAAGCCTGCCTTAAGCACAGCCCTGTGCTGGAAACCAAAGATGAGGAAACAGGTGCAAGACCCACCCATAGAATAGAGAAAAGACAGCAGCTCATATCTCCCACAGGAAAGAATAGCTTTCCATGCTTTGATGGAGAGTCCATGCTATTCCATTGTTGGAAAGGTTTCACAGTTTCATTGCACCTTGAATTGTGCAATGTGACAAGATAGAACATATCAGAACCAAGGTGAACTAATGTGTATTTCTTCTCACTGCTGATCTTGCAAAGTTGCCAACATCAGTAACTGACCCACAATTGTGCCCATTGGGCTCGATGTTGGGCAATGCAACTGCACAGTATGCAGAAACACTCACTGGAGTCAACTCACATGGTGTCAGCAGAATGTTGGTTCCCATTGTTCGTGTTACCCATCTTGGAGCGTGGTGCTGATTGAAAACGGGAACCACCTAAAAGGATGCCAGCCAGCGGAGGTGTGTAAGGGGTTCTGGGGTTCAGACTGGTACTTGAATCTTCGACTTCCACCTCATGCTGTCAAAGGCTAGCATGACCACAAGTGTGGTCAGGCTCTGCTACTATGTTTAATAATGCTATGGAGCACTGCTCATGATGCACCCAATGCATGTGTGCCATCTGCTCCCGTTTGGATCATTGTCATGGGCTTCATGTGCAAAATGAGAGCATCTGAAGCTGTGGCATTGCCCACTTGCATAATGTCGAAGTGGGCCACAACAGCAGTGACAAAGCTGGTGCTGAGAGTACCCCACCCAGTCGCTCTATCCAGAGGACCTGGCACATATTGAAAAGTCCTTTGTGGGTTACTCAGTGTTTCTTTGGACCAGTGGCACAGCAGGACAAGAGCATGGCATCCAAACACACATGGTCCACAGGAACCACCGTACCATCAGCAAGCAAGCCATGCTCAAAAGTCACCAGTCGCATTCCACCCCGCCCAACTTATCCACACCAAATCGTAGAGACTTCCCAACACGATCACCAGAGATATGTGTTGGACATCAGAGAGAAACTGATCGCGACCCTGTTGGGAAGTTGTTGTGGCACTCCTCAGAATATAATACACTACAGACCAGGGGCTGTCTCATGTCTGCTTCGTTTGGTATGCGGTGGCCCAAAATGAAACTGGCAAACTTTATAGATCTGATCTGCTACTGCAGTATTGATCCTGTGCAGAATGCACTGCAAAGCACACCACCATTCGCTTGGGACAGCCGTTCACCATTTGATCCTTTGGCCTGTGCAACAGGTCAGAAAAGACGCAGCCCTCAGCTTTAATTGATACTTGTTCCTGCCGCTTGCATCGCTTCGTGTGTGACCGTTGGGCAAGGCTGAGGAGAGAAGCAAGGTGACTCTGTGACTCTTACAGTCTGTGGCGTGGGCGTGGTTGTCATCTTTGGATCAAATTGACCTGCAGTGCCCCACGGGCTTGACATTGTGGCTGCAGCAAGCCCGATCCTGGAAGCTGTGGGCTGGTCAGCTTGGATGTCAACTTCAGGGCGCACAACCTGCATTTGACCAGCATGCAAGTGGCATACAATTACTTGCTGCACCAAATCGATGACTTTCTGCACTAAATCAGTGACTGCTTGCACCAACTCCCTCCAAAACTTACGTAACCTATAACCTAAACCCTAAACCCTAAAACTAAACATGTCCTAACCCTAAAACTCACCCTAAAACCAAACCTAACCCTGAAACTGCGGTTAGGACATAGTGTGCGCGTGATTTGGTGCAAGCAGTCACCGATTTGGTGCAGGCAGTAATATTGTTTCCATGCAAGTCGCAAGTTGCTGCCAGCAACTTGCAAGGGGGCCCTACTCCCTAGCTCTGTTCGATGTGGGACCCGAACCAGGATATGCTGTCAACCACGGATATGTGGCCCAAAGTGTCGGCGCAGTACCGTGGTGCACAGCCCGCGTCTAGAAATTTCCGTGGGCAATGCCACACGCACTCAAAGCACCACTTTTGCAAGCACCGGCTGCCGCTCCCTCAGTTCCCCGCTGCTGCGGCTCTCCCGTGGGCGGTGTGGACGCCCTGGCAAATTTCGTGGTGCCGTCGGGTGGTCGCATTTGCCGCCCAATTCCTGGCGGCGTGGTTGCTGCTGTTCAGTCGTTGTTCCGCAGCCACGACTTCCTTGGCTAGTGGCGCCGGCATGCCGCTCTGTCGGCGCGACGCACCGACGTCGCTCCCTGGTGTCCTCAGGCGTGGCGCCCAGTGGTTCACGGTGCACGGGGGATGTCTTTTCTGCGTTCATGGTCGTTGTGTGTTGGGGGAGGAGTGGAGCAAGCCCTGACTTTTGGCTGTCCCGCACCGGACGGGCGGACGACGGCTTAGAGCTGTCGCCGCCCTGTTGCGCCCAGCGTCAAGGCCGCCTTCGCGCTGCACTAAAGGGTATCGCGGCCGGGACTACCCACCATGACACGAGAGGGTGTCGCTTGAAGGTGGCACTAAAGTCGATTGAAGGGTGACGCTAGGGTACCGTGGCCGTGGGTGGACTGTGTTGGCTGCCGAGACAGCCCATGTTTGATCCCCGTCCTTTTTGCTGACGGGGCGGCCGTTCTGAGCGACCTTTCGAACGCCAGTGGCCGTGTGGCAACTGGCTCTGTGGTGCTCGTCGTGGCGAACAAGATTCACAAGAATCTGTTAGGCCTCATGATCGTCGATCTTGCTGGTGCACACCTTGTTCATATACGTTGATGGGTACAGCCTCAGCTACCGCAGCCGCAAGTTTGTGTAAACTGCTGTGCCCTTGCAACAAATGGCGAGGTAGGCTTCTGCATGCAGCATGTGCAACCACAGAGCGGTGCATATTCTTGCTCACAGTGTAAAGGGCTCATTTGTTTGGAAGGCGGGTTATGCTTCCACAGGTCTGGTGATTTTCTATTCCACTGATATGCACCTGCGGTGGATGCTGAGTTATTGAGACTCATGTTATATTGAAGCTTTGTGGCTTGGCTAGGCCAGGTTTCCTCCCCAGGCACCGGGTTCTCTGTACTTGCACTGTGAAGACACTTTGAAGCATGACCAGAACCAAGCATTCAGAGTATTGCATTGCTGTAGGGCGGATAAGGCTGTGTTCCAACTCTTTAATGCTTGCCTGGGAGATTGTTGTGGTGGAGGAGTGCTCCTGGATACTCTCCTTAGTTTGAATACAACAATCTACCTGCAAGCTGTGTGGAGCCAGATTGCAATGGCAATACTTTTGTCATCAACGATCAGGCCAAGGATGGATGGGACTTGCACACTGTTCAATGGGCGTTTCAAGGCGCATTGTTTCTAAGTTTGTTGTGACGTCTTCAGTTTGAGTTGGTGATGTACGATAGACAGCACAAGTTCAGCCATTTGGAAAATCGCTCGCCATGTGCATTGCTATTGGTGACCTTGTCC